CCCCGTCCCACCAAACATGCTCGCCCTTTTAACCATGGAGGCGATAATATGGGTCGGTCAATCCCACTATTCGTTGGTAAAAGAGTAGCCCAAGAGTTGGCGGTGGGTGGTGATGACTATCTGCCTTCCCTCTAGTCTTACACTGCTAAATTAGGGACGGCAAGCGCAGATAGCCCCCGTGTAGCTTTGCCCGAAATTCAAAACAAACAATCATTGGAGTTTCGGATCAGACAACTTCATCTAAAAGCAGTCAGAGGCCTGACGTTGCCTAATGGTTAGGTGTCGGGTTGCAGATTGAAAACTCCGGTGTTCGAGAAGTAATGTCGTTGAACACGCTGTATATTAGAAGCGCACAACTTTATTTTAAACGGTTCAGATCTGGAAATAGCTAAGTACCAAAGGCCCAAAATCTTTGAAGCAAAATTGAATACTCATAATTTGGACATTTCTATAGTTTTCTTCGTGAGTTAGACCTATTATCGAAATGAGTGTAGAGCGTTACCTAAAAGGTAAATAAGATACATTAAAGATAAGTGTTCTAGACGTATTTATTTTCACCAAATATCCACCCAAAAGAATCCGCAAACGAAAGAAGCAACAGAATCAATGGTGATTTTAAACACTAGGGACATTTAAAGACACGTTTCAGGAAGGAATGAGATCTATAAACAGTCTGCAGCTCTTTGATATGTAACATAATATTTATTTCTTATAGGACCGTTCTCCAGTGGGTCAGCGGTCACTATACGGACGGAGTTAAAACGCTAATATCCGGAGTTCGATTCACCGTGGTGGGCAGAGCATAAACAGTCCATTATTTATCTTTGCACTAAAACAGCACGTACACCTTTCAAGCGAGTCGTTTATATTAAAATAGTTAAGATCGAGATTGAAGCAGCTAAAGGGCTGTATGTGGCCCTCGGGGCGCACGTTTTGTATCGCTACTCTCGATATTCAGTTACGGATAAGTTACGAAAGTGAACGTTAATTCTGTTGTTCGGTTCAAAGTGTTTGATAAAGCCTAATGTGATGGCGGGTACTACTGATGTCAAGAGTTCAAAATTAGAGTCGGTTATAACCGAGCCCTAAGGGACTCTGACCCGGATCCAGGTTCTAGACATTTATTGTAATTATTCTTTCTTTCATTCAATAATAAAAGACAAACTATTTCTGGTTCAGCAACATACACACGGGAAGTCAGATTTTAGGGGGAAAATTAAGTAATAAACGTGGTTTGAACAAAGATATAAAAATTAGTAACAAACCACCAGCTTTTTCAAAATCGTTTTTACCTAGGTTATATAAGAACAATAGATAATCTAATAGTTCAGTTTACCAAATGTAATATGTATTTATTATAAAGAATACTGTGGTGGGTAGAAACGTTGACACAAAACATAACGTCATTGGTGTTCGTAGAATGGTCAACAACAAATGTGATTATTTTAGAAAAAACCGAAAGGGAAAATATTAAAAGCCTTAATATTTTTGGGTGGTTCTAGCCTTTGTTCGATGAGAGGGACCAAGTGAGCTCGACCGAAAATTGAGTGGGCTGCACTCTTCATTTGGTAGCCATATATACTGCAGCATTTAGGAAGTAAATCATTTTTAGCAGTAAGTATTGCCCCCTTGTGCGGGTGGTACATAGGAGGCTAAGGCATATTTTGGGGTAGCAAAAGCAACCTCCCTTCACTTAACACCGCCCCTATTAATAATTGAAGATAAAAATTCGATTATAAAAACAATGCCATATACTCTTTTAAAATTAATTGACATTAGAATAACTTTAAGTATGGTAGTCCTAGTAGTAGGGATCGACAAGGTTTCTAAATACGGTAGTACTTAATAGTAGGGATCGACAATGTTTATAAATACGGTAGTACTTAATAGTAGGGATCGACAATGTTTCTAAATACGGCAGTACTTAATAGTAGGGATCGACAAAGATTCTAAATACGGCAGTACTTAATAGCAGGGATCGACAAAGATTCTAAATACGGCAGTACTTAATAGTAGGGATCGACAAGGATTCTAAATAATTCACACGCCAATAAAACACCCTATCGAGTTCCTAAGTGAAAAACCGACCATTCAAAGTATTGGTTATGATATATTATGCGCATATATACTAATAATACGCTAAAAAGGTCGCTAACATTTCCGGAATAACAATGCAAAAAATTTCTAAAAGAGCAACTTTTTCGTCTACCCTCCTACCTGATCACGTCAGTGGGGCTAGCGCCTAACCGACTCAGATTATCGCTACAAGATTCCTCCAGCTTACTTGATTAGTCTGTGGGTATCCGCTTTTGATATCCCGATAAAAATCCATATATATATATATATATAGGTATAATATAAATGGTAAACATATCATGCACGTACTAAATATCTTTTCAACTAAAAGGATGGCGCTATATATCGATGGACAGACACGCGACAGTTTCTAATGGTATATACTCTAACAGGTATAATATAAAAGTAAACAAACAAGAGTGTTGAATAATTATGTATTTTAAAATGGAGTAAGGATTCTCCTACAAAAGTAATGAAACAATAATTAAAACCAGAATCACGAATTTATAAAATTTAATCCCTATTTTGGCAGCTTTATACACTTATCTGATTTTGTGATTGTATTTTTAATTCTTGTAAAAGTTATAGCTATCAGGGATATGGCTATACTGAAAGTTTATAGATGTTGTGTCCATTTCAAAAACAAGTAAAGTAATACTAGCTGGATAGTTTTTAAAACGATTTTCAATCTCTTCTTTAGTGGGCAGGTTTAGGCTAAATAAAAAAAAATCGTTTTAAAATCTATCCAACTAGTATCACTTTACTTGTTTGTGTACTTTTTATTGCAGCATTTACTTTGTTTTGGATACTTTTTATAGCAATTCTATGAATAACCAACAATTCCTCCGTTTTTACTTTTTTACCTATTTATCATAATAATTTTGATCCAGATCTAAGCATGAAGAGACAGAACAGTCTTATTTAAAACTCCTGTTCGTTGATTTTTCTTGTTTTATATTATCATGTCTCACTTGAAGGAAATAAAACGTCATAAACATATAACAGCTACGTCATTGAAGTATAATTACAACGAACTAAAAACATCTGCTAAATAACCCATAACTAATGAAAATTCGACCGTGTTTCGACTCACGAGAATTCGAGTTTCGATACCCGTGGTTGTCACAAGAAACAAATTCTCGAAATTTACGAGAAATGTGTTCGACATAATATATATATATATATATATATAAGAATGTTGTTTGCACATCAAATAATAAATACGACGTCATAATACGTCAACACTTTATTTTCATGGTAATAAGTAGAAATGTTTCTTTCATTTGAGTTATTCTTTACATCCCCGCCCTAGGTTAGTTATACGGAAAGTTCCCTTGTATACTTGTTTACATTGAATATATTT